TTTACAATTCTTGGACTGCCAAAAATTGTAAAGTCAACGCTGAAGAGGTTAATGAAATTACAATCGAAACAAAGCCCTAATGGAGATAAAATTGCCAGCTGAGATAGTTTATTGCCGATATTTATTTAGATCCTATAAGTGTTAAAAGTGCTCGCTTCCCTCTACTTTGATTTTGCAGTAAAGTTTTTTTGCCCCTTTCCCCACCTCCCATCTAATATTCCTTCTCTAACTCTTCCAGCGTGATTCATTTCTCCCAACGTTATTCATTTCTTTAAGATCTTGTTTTATTTTTAAGTCATCAATTACTCAAACTTTGTTGGCCTATCTATTCTCTGCCATCTGGACCCCATACCTTATTTTAAAGCATGTTCAAATAATGACAACCTTCTTTTCTCAATTAATTTATGGGCTGCTGGGACCATTTTTCATTTGTTATCATGGACTTCCATTTGATCTCTCATATCTTCCTTCTGCATCTTCAACCATAGTGTATAAATCTTCCTCTCAAGCATTGTCCTGGTGTCCAAGATATATAGGTATAACTCCCTATTAGTTCCACAAAACTGACCTTAATTTCTAAAAATGGTATCAGATGTGAATAAAGTTTGGTAAGATGATTTGTTTTGATTTACTTTGTACCACTTATCTTTGAGTTTTCGCCTTACTTTTCTTTTATCGAATTTAGACAGTATAGTCTTGCAAACCCAGTTGCATGTTTATCCATTACTTTCCTGCCAACGTTGTTCCTTGGAGAGATTGGAGTGCAAGATTTTGGTTGCTAGGAATAATAAAGTAGTCTGCGGACATTCGAAAGATTCCACCCTTCCCAGCCCCCTGTGACCTGCTGGAGACTAAACCTTATTGGATCTGTCCTGCCGTCCCAACACCTTCGTGGGCTATTTCAACTGTTTGAGGCTACTGCAATTAAAGCGGAAAGGGTTTTGCAAATTGCAATGGAGCCAGCGAGGGAAATGGGTTACTTTTTATATTGTTTTGTTGACAAAGGATAAAGACAGGAAAGTAAAACAGTCTTCCAACAAGTAGGGCAAGCCAAAGGAGGAATGTATATAATTTCTCTCCCCCCTCTCCCCCTCTCCTTTTCTCAGGCTGCAGTCCTGCACAACTTACCATATTTTTCCGTGTATTTTTCAGTGTATAACACGGAATAAGACAACCAGAATAATTTGGGACCCCAAATTAAGGAAATGGGGGGAGATTGCCCAGAGTTTTTGAGCCTTTTTGGGGGGGTGTTTCCCAGAGATATTGAGCTTTTTGAGGGAGGATTGCCAACATTCTCTCACCTGCCTGGCTGTCGCTGCCAATCGCACGACTCGCCAAAGCCAATCGTCTGCCCTCTCGCCGCCAGCAGCCGCTAATAGCCCACCCAATTGCCACAGCAGCAGCCAATCATCAGCAGGCCTTGCTGCAGCCACCAGTCACCCGCCCAATCACCCATCACCCCTCTGCACTATCTGTGTATAAGACAACCCCCAATTTTAAACTTTTTTAAGAATAAAAAAGCATTGTCTTATACACAGGAAAATACGGTAATTCCGCTTGACTCCAATAGGGATAGATTAATCTATATCTGCCCCATGCCAGTTTTTCCTATGCTCAATCTTAGGTCTGTTCCAGCTTTCTTATGTCTGTTTTTATACATATTTTGGGTGTTTAAAAAAGCATGGAAAATTCGCATTTAAACTGCATGCAACTTGCATGCATTTTGTATACATTTTATAGGCAGTCTCCCCCTAAAATATACATTCCCCCCATGCTTCTCAATGCAATTTTCTTCAAAATAATCTTTTTTCTGTATTCCAGAAAAATAAACATTTCTTTGCATATTTTTTGACAATAAAGGTGCATTGCAAAATCTGGAGCAGAGCATAATCCGATTGATAGCTGTGTTTTGATCTGCAAATAAGTGCAGATACTTCAGATGGTTGGCTTAAAAACGTGGATCAAATGAATTTCTTCTCCATCCCTCGAGTCCTCTGGCATTCTACGGACTCTAACAGTGCACAGGATTGTAGCTTCCCTTTCCAGGGGAGTGGGGAGGGGAGGAAACCCTATAAAAGGAACAAAAGCCCTTCTAACTTTGTGTGTGTGTTGTGCTTTACGTCAACTGACTGGTCCAAATGAAAGAATGCTAATTAAGGAGGGTTGGGGGGGGGAGCCTACAAGCAGATGTTTATTAACACCTCTTAGGTTCAGGGTATTTGGCTTGTGTGCAGTTTTTGTGGACTGATTTGAGAAGGGAAACACCTTTCCTGGAATAATAGCCAATTATAATCGCCGGCTTCATCTGTTTTTCTTTCATCTGGCAACGGTGGCGGCGGGGGGAGCAGGGGAAAGCAAAGGAAATAAGTCCAACCGATTGCATCGTAGATATTAATTCCGCACATCATTTGGTACATATTATTAATAATAAATATATTGTAATATCCAAACGGCAGATTCCAAGGCCATTTGCTTTACGGCGACTTCCTCCGTTATTAGTTTATCATGTGCCAACGTTGTTAACCTGTTTCAGTGCAGCTTGCCACAGAGCCTTTGTCTTTGCCAAAGCGGCAATGCATCACTTTGATGCCCCTCAAACCCACTGAAAACAGGAAGCACGGCTGCCGGGCCCCAGCATGGCGACTCCATCCCAGGCCTCCGCTTCAAACTGCGGAGCCATAAAACTGAATAGCGCAATATAAAACTCCATGTTTCATAAGACAAATATTGCTTTACGCCTTCGTGTCTCTTGCACTATGTTAACTGTAGGAAGAAATGGAACACAGTTTTAGTGACCCCCTGGGACACATAAAGGCTATTTCTGAGTCTGAATCTTGCTGTTTAATTTAATCATTTATTATATTAATATTCAAATGGGCTGCATCTTATTAGCTACTGCAAAGATGTTAGTATGTCTGAAATAAATACCTAATTATGCTTTGGAAGAGAGAGGTTCTAAAGACTTTTGTACATTCCTGCTAATACAACAGTTCATTTTCTGGGTGTTTTCTTTTTTCTCCTTCTGAAGAAATCCGCAATATGAGTTTATTCTTTTTTTTTTATTTTTAAAAAACAAAAGAATAAAAACTCAAGGATCGCCTACGTTCTGGTGAAATTAAAAGCCAGAGAGATGCTTGTTTGTACGAGGTGTTCCAATTCCTTCCCCCACTCCATTCAAGCCCGTGAGTTATCCCTTTGCAAAGTGACCAGTGCTCTCAACTCAATAACACATTAATAAATATAACGGCTTTAACCAAATGACCATGAAATTAAGTATGTTCCTATTAAAATTAAACAAATGGATCTGCTTTGGAAAACACATCTTTGGATTGGACACTGTTATGTTTTAAATATATTGTCACTGCTGGGGGGGGGCAGGAAGAGAAAGGAAAAAAACATTTTCTCTCCCTCTTCCAAGAAAAAAACAACTAGTTTAATTGTAGAGTGCCTGATTTCTACTCCTTTTGAGTGTCAGCGTCTTGGGGCGGGGGGCAGGGAATGGAGCTGAGCTCTGGCTCTGCAGAACCGGCATTTCCAAAAAGGAACCTAGATGTCTGTCTCTTTTTCTCTTCTTGGTTCCTTCATGGGATCCCACTTTCCCCTCTTCTTTCCCCTTTATAACAGTGAATTGACTGGCTGGCATAATACGCATGAACGAGGTCGACTAATTCTAAGCAAAATATATGCACTGCTGGGTCGAGAGCAATGTAGAAAAATTAGCTGCAAATGCAAAAGGAAAAAAAAGGGGGAGTAGCTACAGGATGGAACTGGAAATTACAAGTGACTGTCTCTCTCCAGCAGCAGCAGCAGCAGCCGCACCATAGTCCCTGCCACTGTGCATTCAGTAAGCCCCCTTCAAGAGAGGGTGCCAGCTAATGCACGAGGCAGTTTATTTCCTGAATGAATGCTGGAGCTAATAAAAGGTTAAAGGACAAAGAGTCCTGGAAGATAAACTCCCCATTTTATCTCTAAACACTGAAGTTCAGCTTATTGCAAAATGAGTTCCTCTACCCTGACCTGAAAATGGCCTCACCCCTTGACCTGGAACTGCCTTTGTTTTAATGCCACAACTGCCGCCTGTGCAGCTCTGACAAACTGGAGCTGCCCATTTTTGTGTAATTCTCCTCCGTGTTATTGACTTGCAAATGACCTAGTCTTTAGGCACTAGGCAGAAAGGGGCTTGAAGGGGAGGAGGAGGCCGAAAGGCAGCCCCTTGCCTTCAAGGTTCAAGGTTTTGCTTCTACAACACATGAATGTCTTCGCATTTGCAAGCGAAGCTGCAAGCAAGCTGACTCCTGCTGGTCTTCCCCACCAATTGGCTTGAAAGTGTGAGCTGGGTTGCAGAGTTGCCTCTTTGTTTTTCCCCAAAAGCAACACTGGCTGTGGATTTTGAAGGCCTAAGATGTGGAAGAAATTTTTACTCAGTTGACATTTAAAAGCGAACCTCCCCCCCCTTTCTCCCCCCTTTTCTCTTCTTCCTCTTTATTTTTTTATTTAAATCTCACCTTTTCCCCAGACCAGGACTCAAGGGGTCTTAACACAAATTAAAACAACACAGATGAAATACAAAAAGTTAAAAACATATAAAAGATACATGGTAAAATGTAATTAAATTCTAGTAGAATTAAAGCAATATGGAAACCAAATCTATTTAAAAAACACAGATACCAATAATAAAATAAAACAGCACAGCGCTTAAATCCCTTTCCTTCAAAAACAGTTCCTAAAGGCCTGGCAAAATAAAACCGCCTTCATCTCCCTGTGATATCCAGAGCTCAGAAAACATGGACTGTTTGGCCTATAATTTGATCCCTTACTTGTTACTACTATCAATGGTTTAAACAAACAATAGCTCCTGGTGTTCAGCTATCAGGGGGAACTATGGTTGATTTAAAACCAAACTTTTCCCCTTCTAATGGCTGCAAAATAGGAGAAGAGGAGACTCTAAGGGTTGCAGTGGCTCATACTTCAAAGACATCCTGGATGGAATTTGGGAAAGGGCCGTGGCTCAGTGGTAGAGTATCTGCTTTGCATGCAGAAGATCCCAAGTTCAATCCTTGATATCTCCAGGTAGGGCTTGGAGAACCCCAGCCTCAAATCTTGGACAGCTGCTTCTAGTAGGTATAGACAATGCTGAGCTAGATGGACCAAAGTTCACACTTGCCATAAGGCAGCTTCCTATGTTCCTATCCCATTTTATAAAATGGTGGGATGTTCTGCTTTATCCTCACAACAGGCCTCAGTAGGCCAGAATCTGCCTTCTCAAGTCACTACAATCATGCAAATTCATCATGAGCATTTCCATCATTTAGAAAACCAAACCACTAAAACTCTATTTCATTGCTTGGGCTTTCCCTGTGGCCTTATGCTCACTCAGTTCCTTGTGATTTGGGTTTTCAGTTACAAGAACATAAAAAAGAGAGCCCTGCTGGATCAGGCCAAAGGTCCATCTAGTCCTGCATTCCATTCTCACAATGGGCAGCCAGGTGCCCCAATGGGAAGCCTGGAAGTTGGGATGGACAAACTTGATAATTTTTACTTCTCTCCATTTCTCATTTTTCCAATCTTATATCAGCTTCACCATATTTCTGCAGCAAAAAAAAGAGGGGAAAATCCTCCTAAAAGTAAGCCAATATTTTAGTGCACTATTCTCCAAATAAACACTTTTTTATATGCAGTTTTGACAAATATGGACATTTTTTGCAAGCTGCTATCCTTAACGCAACACATTTTTGTATGCTCTTTTCACTAATATTTGCATTTTTTTCCTGCACATTGTTTGGAGAACTGCATTGCAAAATTCAGAGAAGTATGAATTTTGAAGGATGGCTGAGTCTCAGTTTCCAGATTGTTAGGGAGTTAGTTAAGTTCCATTTGAAATGCAAACTGAATGGAATTTTCCCTTGACCACAACCTGCAAGCAGGATATGAGCATAGTGACACTTCCCCATGATGTGATTCCCAGAAATTAGCATTCCATATTCTGCAGAAGCTGCTTTAACTGGTCTGGTATTCCAGACCACAGGGCAATTGCAGGACACTGATTGCGGGACTTTTTGATTGTTGTTTTAAAATGTTTATTTTTACCAGACAAATTTACAGCCCACTTTTCTGCAATTGTCCTCAAAGTGGGTTGCAGATGAACTAAGATAAATGACCGGTAAATTGCAGCAGTAGAAATAAACCGGGAAAGATTAAAAGATTTAAAAGAGTATATTGCAGTGCAATACGGTACATTGCACCTCAAAAATATGTACGTCCAGTAGCACATATGCATAGCTGCTTTCCAGGACACAGAAATAGAGGGACGATGGGGAGGTGGAGTTCGTGCATTTGCACCATGTCGGCCTCCCCACTGCAGTACCCTTCCTCTGCTAAGTTGCAGTGACTCAGTCGTCAGGAGATCAGGTAAGTGTCCCCACCCTTCACTTATTCTGAGCCTCAATGGGGCTTGTGCTCAAGGAAGTCAGTAGAGGATTGCAGCTTGAGTTATAAAATGCTTGCCTGAGGAGAAAACTCTGGATCTCTTGAGGGCCACCTAAGACAAAGACTGCTGAGAGGTGGCCACTAACCTGTAGATGGTGGTAAAAAGGTAAAGGGACCCCTGACCATTAGGTCCAGTCGTGACCGACTTTGGGGTTGCGGCGCTCATCTCGCTTTATTGGCCGAGGGAGCCGGCATACAGCTTCCGGGTCATGTGGCCAGCATGACTAAGCCGCTTCTGGCAAAGCAGAGCAGCACACGGAAACGCCGTTTACCTTCCCGCTGGACCGGTACCTATTTATCTATTTGCATTTTGACGTGCTTTCAAACTGCTAGGTTGGCAGGAGCAGGGACTGAGCAACAGGAGCTCACCCCATCGCAGGGATTCGAACCGCCGACCTTCTGATCGGCAAGTCCTAGGCTCTGTGGTTTAACCCACAGAGCCACCCGCGTCCCTTGTAGATGGTGGTACCCAAGGCTTTAATGCTGAGCATCACTACCTTGAATGAAGCCCAGAAACAAATGAAGTAGTGAAGCTGAATCCCTTGGAAGGTTGCGGACTCTCCTTTGTTGGAAGTTTTGAAAGAGATCTTTCGGGAATCCCTTAGCGGTGATTCCTGCGTTTGCAGGGGGTTGGACTAGATGACCCCCCAGGACTGCTTGCAGCTCTACAATTCTATGATTCTAGGATCTGGTGCTGTGTGGGAACACCACACGCATGCAGACACAACCAGATTTGCATCTGCTTTGAATTTCCTTAAGCTCAAGCCGTCCTGTCTTTCCTCCATAGTAGTCCTAATCAAGTCAACAGATCAGCCTCTGAGTAAGTGGCCCTGTGGGGATGTCAGTGTCTGTGCTAACCTGGAAGAGGTACCTATGATTACCCCTCCTTCAGACAGACACGGCGTCAGCGTGAGAGTTTAACGACCGTGCCACTAAAAACACATATTCCTGGCATTTTAGGCCAGCCGTAAGGATGCGGAGGAAATGTTTTCCTCATTATTTGGATGTGCTGTTTGAATGTTGTGATCAGTGATTCAAAGCACATGATTCATCAGGAAGGCATTTGCTAAGGCAGACATGTGAGGAGCTGTCTGCCTCTTCAATCTCCCTGACAGGGCAAAAATGCTGATTTATAGTAAATCATTAAAATCTGCTTATTATGGTGCTGCTTGTTCCTTCTTCCCCACTTCAAGCCGGCATCTTGATCTGCATCATGTCTCTTGCAATTTTATACAACAGCTAGCAGTTATTTAAACCAGAGAGAAATGATCCTCTGTCTTTATTAGTGCATATGAAAGGATATTTTGTTTAAGGAAGACTAATTAAGAATGCAGACTCTATTTTCTTGCCCAGTTTAAGGGAAAGGAGGGAGGGGGCAAGATTTAAAACAGCTAAGCTCAAAGAATGGTTTCCTTAAAACAATAAGTTGACATGGATATTGAATATGTGTTTTGTTTTTCCTTATAAGAGAATAAAACCTACCCAAAATAGGCAACTCTTGCACATCCTATAATGTGAAACTATATATATATATATATGGTTTCACATTATAGGATGTTAGAATCACATGGCATAGCGTGAAATATCATCGAAATAGTAAATACTGGTGAAAATAGATAAGAAGTGATGTACTACTTGGGTACAATCATAGGCCTTTTCCCCCGACAGCTTGAAAAAGTTTTATTTTTGTTGTTAACTTTCTATTTTTCACTTTATATTCTGTAAACAAACCATGTACCAAAATAATCAAACACAAAAGAAAAAGATGTATGTGTTTTTTAAAGTTAAAAAAAAATTAATTTGACACCTAGGGACATGTTTCCTGCCATTGAATAACAAAGGAGTGAATAAGCTGACTCAAAATTAATCCATACAGCTCTGTCCTCTTAATAATATTAATTCCAGAGAACATTGCAGTGCATAATGCATTTTAAATTAAGTTGGAAAATGCATAATTTATATTTGTTTTATTTCTAAAGATACAGATGCAGATAGCATTCAAAACACACACACAAAATGCAGGAAGGACAATTTTTGTCCATTGATGTGAAAGAGTGGGTTCCTTTACTTCTTCTGCTGCTATTGCTTAGAAGGACAAAAAACAACAACAACCTGGTAGTATTTCTGGAGCTTTCCAAGAGGAGAACTTTAGCTGTGAAATATTACTGAGAAAAGATAAACACACTGTGTGGGGAGAGAAAATTATTTTTAACACACTGTGAAAGGAATATGTTTGTTTAAAATAGGGGGACGGCTGCTAATTCCTAATAAAATGTTCTCAGTTGGGTAATTACATATTGCCTTGGCGAAAAGCATCACCTGAGTTTCTGAGAGGCCATGACAGCAAAGACAGGGGGTGCCACTTAAAGATATACGTGAGGCCGAAAAGATTCAGGAGGTCAACAACCTACTCATATATATCTTTAAATTGTCAAAGGAAAAAGGAAAGAAATTACAAGTAGAGTCTTAAAAACACACACAAACACTTAGGTCCCATGTACACTACACATCTCAAGCAGTACTGTACCACTTAAGCAGTTGTGGTTTCTCCCCTAAACATCCCAGGATTTGCTTTGGGGCATAGCTGTCAACTTTTCCATTTTTTAAATGGAAATTCCCTTATTCTGAACAGTATTCCTCGCAAGAAAAGGGAAAAGTTGATAGCTAAGCTTTGGGGTGCTGAGAATTGTTAGGAGGCCCCAATTCCCCTCATAGAACTACAATTCTCAGAGCTTCATGGGAAGAAGGTTTGGTTGTTAAGCCACTTTGAGAATTTGAGCAATTCCCCCACCCCCGATAAATGACATAGTGCAGACAATAAATGGGGCAGGTGCAGTGCCAAGAGTCAGCATGATGGGGCACCAGCCAAAGTCCCACAAGCTAGGAGAAGGCCCATTGCTGATCTAAGCTAGTTTTTCATTTCTCAGTGCCTGGTGGCAGTAAAAATGAAGCCAGAGCATGAGGGAAATCAGGCTCTGCTGACTCCTGCAAGCTCACTCCCATTGAGAAATTTGAGATGATCCCAGGAGCTCCTGCAACCATCTCAGGAGCCTCTGGGGTGAAGGTCTCCTTCCTTTTGGGAGGAGGGCTTGAGGGAGCAGAGAAACCTGCTGCTCAGTTCTTTCTCTTGGTGCCTCTCTCAAACTGGGAAATGGGTGATGGCCCCAGAGGCCCCTGTGATATCTTTCGAGCCCCTGGGGTGATGGTACATTTCCAAGCTTGAGAGATGCCCAGAGGGAGTGGAGCAAGCCATTCCCTTGGGCTCCAGAAAGCCCAAGGGAGGCTCTTCTCTGTGGCTTCTGCCAGAGAGAAATGCGAGCTTGCGTTGGAGGAGTCTGCAAGGTAAGAGGCTCACATTTCTGCCAGGATGGAGGCCTGGAAAAAGCAACGTGGCTCTTTTTAACCTCCTTGGCATCACTAGTGCTGAAAGGTGCAGGTGTCCCTCCCAATGGGAAATTGCTCAGAGCCCTGGTAATGTAGGTCCAGATCAAGGGAAGTAATAAAAAGGTAAACGTAAAGGACCCCTGACAGTTAAGTCCAGCCACAGACGACTCTGGGGTTGCGGCGCTCATCTCATTTTACA